AACCACACTCTCCACAACCTTCGCCACAAAGCGAAGGTTGGAGACCGGACGATAATTAGCTAATACATCTGGGTCCAGGGAAGGCTTCTTAAGGAGGGGCCTCACCACCGCTTCCTTCAAGGTTACGGGGAAGACACCCTCCCACAAAGAAGCATTTATAATTCCCTGGAGCCAGGCTCGTGTACCCTCCCGGGCAGCCGGTACCAGCCAGGAGGGGCACGGATCCAGTAAACATGTGGTTGCGTTCAGCCTCCCAAGAATCCTGTCCACATCCTCAGGAGAGGCTTGATGAGGCTTGCCAGAAACAGGCACTTTTCCGAAGGCTCTATACTGGCACATTCAGAAGAAATCTGTAAAGTGGCAACTGGTAGAATAACCCGTGCATCAACTGGGGCAAAGGGACCAGAACCATACAATTGATCAGGAATAATGACACCCCCCCCCGAGTTAAGAGCATGCACAGCACATTGATGTTTAAACTCGCTGTCCCAAACTACATATTGCGCTGGAGTAAGCAACATGCGAAAGGTAGTTTTCCAATCTTCAGGTACTAAGATATGATTTCTCATAGTGGCTTCCAACATTCCCTGCACATAAGTACTTCCCAGTACTCTAATTCCTTTTCTAAGTTCTGTTAAAATTGCATAGGACAAAGGGCGATATTCCACTATTTGAGCTCTATTCTGATTTACTTGTCCCGTGGCGTGTACTGGACAAACAGAAAGCATATCAGCAATTTCTTCTATATTCCCCCCCCCTTTTTTTCTAATTGTTCCTCTAATATTTTCCTTATGGGGGTGTACGATGGCCGTAAGGAAGCAAAAGAATTAGCCTCTTCAGAAGGAGCTGAAGATCCAATTGGAGATGCTTTTGGGGTGACAATTTTTATCTGGTCATAATCAGGCAGGGGGCTTGTAGTTAATTGTTGCCCTGCCAAAGCATCAGAGCCAAATTTTTCCACTGCTTGACGGCACTGATACCATGGATGTAATATCTGTACTGGAGCCCGGGGTTCAAGATGTAAAGTATGCCCTGTCTTTACCCAATCCTGTAAACGGAGCGCCCCGTGCTCAGGATACCAGGGCAATGTTTCCCTACCTCCTCCACCAGCTTCCTTTTATCTGCCTCAGGCACTGTCACACCTGATTTATGTAACAGGAATCGGAGTTCCTGTACATGTTTATGCTAGTGCTGAGATAGATTGCAACCCATACTTACCACTGAGAAATCACAAATGAAATTCAAGATGTCTCTAAACTCATCATTGTTTGCTTCATGTGCACTTCCTTGTGTGCAATAAGAGATGATTTACACCTGAAGAATTGTTCACAGATTGGACATTTCAAATGTTTCTCCCCTGTATGATACATGATGTATAAGGTTAGACCTAATACTGAAATATTTCCCAAAATCTGGATACTTTTACGGTTTTTCTCCTGTATGCGTCCTCTGGTGTCTTACAAGCAGAGAAGTGTAACAGAAACTTTTTCCACACTCTCGACACTCATGCAGTTTCTCTCCTGTGTGAGTCCTCTGGTGTATCACCAGGTGGGAATTCTTAGTGAACCTTTTCCCACATTCAGGACATTCAAAGGGTTTCTCTCTTGTGTGAGTCCTCTGGTGTATCACCAGGCTGGAATTCTGACTGAAGCTTTTTCCACAACCAGGACATTCAAAGGGTTTCTCTCCTGTGTGAGTCCTCTGATGTCTCACCAGGCTGGAATTCTGACTGAAGCTTTTTCCACAACCAGGACATTCAAAGGGTTTCTCTCCTGTGTGAGTCCTCTGATGTCTCACCAGGAGGGAATTTGCAACGAAACTTTCCCCACAAAGTGGACACGTAAACGGTTTCTCTCCTGTATGAATCCTCTGGTGTATCACCAGGAGGGAATTCTTAGTGAACCTTTTCCCACATTCAGGACATTCAAAGGGTTTCTCTCCTGTGTGAGTCCTATGGTGTATCACCAGGTTGGAATTCTGACTGAACCTTTTCCCACATTCAGGACATTCAAAGGGTTTCTCGCCTGTGTGAGTTTTCTGGTGTCTCACCAGGTGGGAATTTACAATAAAACTTTCCCCGCAAAGTGGACACTTATATGGTTTCTCTCCTGTGTGAGTCCTCTGGTGTATCACAAGATTGGAATTATGACTGAAACTTTTCCCACATTCAGGACATTCAAAGTGTTTCTCACCTGTGTGAGTTCTCTGGTGTATCAGAAGACTGAAATTTTGAGTAAAATGTTTCCCATAAACAGGACATTCAAAGGGTTTCTCTCCTGTGTGAATCTTCTGGTGTCTCACCAGCTCAGAATTTGCAATGAAACTTTTCCCACACTGTGGACACTCATACGATTTCTCTCCTGTGTGAGTCCTCTGGTGTCTCACCAGGTGGGAATTTACAATAAAACTTTTCCCACAAACTGGACACTTATATGGTTTCTCTCCTGTGTGAGTGCTCTGGTGTATCACAAGATTGGAATTATGACTGAAACTTTTCCCACATTCAGGACATTCAAAGGGTTTCTCGCCTGTGTGAGTCCTCTGATGTGTCATCAGGTTGTAATTCCGAGTGAAACTTTTCCCACATTCAGGACATTCAAAGGGTTTTTCTCCCGTATGAGTCCCCTGGTGGATTATTAGGTCAGAATTTCTAATAAAACTTTTCCCACAAACTGGACACTCATACAGTTTCTCTCCTGTGTGAATCCTCTGGTGTCTCACCAGGTGGGAATTTACAATAAAACCTTTCCCACAAAGTGGACACTTATATGGTTTCTCTCCTGTGTGAGTGCTCTGGTGTATCACCAGATTGGAATTCTGACGGAAACTTTTCCCACATTCAGGACATTCAAAGGGTTTCTCTCCTGTGTGAGTCCTCTGATGCGTCACCAGGCTGGAATTTAGACTGAAACCTTTCCCACATTCAGGACATTCAAAGGGTTTCTCTCCTGTGTGAGTCCTCTGATGCGTCACCAGGTAGGAATTCTGACTGAAACGTTTCCCACAATCAGGACATTCAAAGGGTTTCTCTCCTGTATGAGTCCTCTGATGTGTCACCAGGTGGGAATTCTGACTGAAACGTTTCCCACAATCAGGACATTCAAAGGGTTTCTCTCCTGTGTGAGTCCTCTGGTGGTTCACCAGGTGGGAATTCTGACTGAAACTTTTCCCACACTGTGGACACTGAAACGGTTTCTCTCCTGTGTGAGTCATCTGATGTCTCACCAGGAAGGAATATACAATGAAACTTTTCCCACAAAGTGGACACTCATACGGTTTCTCTCCTGTGTGAATGCTCTGGTGGTTTACCAGGTGACAACCTTTCTTGAAACCTTTCCCACAATCAGGACATTCAAAGGGTTTCTCTCCTGTGTGAATGCTCTGGTGGTTTACCAGTTGACAACCTTTCTTGAATCCTTTCCCACACTCAGGACATTCAAAGGGTTTTTCTCCTGTGTGATTCCTCTGGTGTCTCAACAGGTTGGAACTGTGAGTGAAACTTTTCCCACATTCAGGACATTCAAAGGGTTTCTCTCCTGTGTGAGCTCTCTGGTGTATCACCAGGCTGGAATTCCGAGTGACAGATTTCCCACAATCCGAACATTCAAAGGGTTTCTCTCCGGTGTGAGACATCTGGTGTTTCACCAGGTAGTAATTTACAGTGAAACGTTTCTCACAAACTGGACACTCCTATGGTTTCTCTCCTGTGTGAATTACTTTGCTTGGTAAAGCATTTACTACATTGGGAGTACTTATAGGGCATCTGTCCTGTGTGGGTCCTTTTATAAACCAGAAGGGAGATATTCTGACCAAAGATTTTGTTACATTAGTCGCATTTGTATGGCTTTTTTTCCAGTTTGGATCCTCTTGTATGTAATCACCTATGCTTTTGCAATTAGTGCTTTATACCACAATAGTGACATCTGTGGACCTTTTCCACCACTGATATTCTGGAGGAAGTAAAAAATGTGTGTGGTCCCTTGTTTAGTGGTGCTTTGATTTCACCTACTGTTTTCTTCCTCCCATTGGAGTTCTGCATTACTGTCTGCCCTATTTGAGTATCCAATTGACCTTTTCTTCCCCACTGACTTCCAGATACTTCCCCCTTTTTCTGAACGAAAAAATGATCCCCTTCACCTTGTCATGTAACGTATTCTTCTGTTCTGCATACTCTACTATTTCCAGCTTGAAATTTCTTCTTAATTTTCTCTTGCCTTTCGCCTGCTGGGAGAATTGTGTAATTTTCTGAAGGAAATGGAAAATATTTTGATTTATGGCTTGATTTGCTTTCCTTTTCAAAAGTTATTCTCACTTCTCCAGAGTGCTCTTATTGCCATCCTCTTTGTCTACAAGATTCAAAGAAAAGTGTAAGTTTAATTGTTTATACAATGCTTGCAGATGTGAAAAAAAGGAAAAAATATACATTACATTTAAAAAGCAAACATGCCACAATGCTAACCTCTTACAATAATTATGATTCATCGGACATTCCACAGATCCAACTTCAAATATCCGTTCAATCATGAAATTCCCCATTGGCCCCATTGGCCAAGCCCACCTGGACGCCTCTCGGGTCTCCCTCACCCGCCTTCCAGACGCCCCTGGCCTCCTCCTAGCAGGGTCCCCGCCCTCGCCTCCAGCCACGCTCCCTCTGAGCCCAGAGCTCCCCCGTCCTCTTCCCCTTCCTCCCCTCCAGGCACTGGGAGGCTGATCCTCCCCAGCAGCCACAGGGGAACGTGGGAACGGCGGTGCTCAACCTTCCAGGAAACACCAGGAGCCTGCACGGTGAGAGCCAGGCTGCGCCAAGAGGAGGGGCTGCGGGGCAGGAGGGGGCCTGTTCCTCTGCAGGTCTTAAGCGAGTCGCTCTGGGTCATTATTTATTTATTTTTTATTTATTTAATTTAATTTATATGCCGCCCTTCTCCCGACGGGACTCAGGGCGGCGCACAACATATTTAAAACAAAACATAAATACATTCCCCCCCCAATAAAACCGAATTAAATCAAATTTTAAAGTTGTGTCTCTGTCAAATTGCTAAAAAATAAACCCCATATAAAATCCTCCCTAGGTCAGGTCCGCTTGC